CCCCGTTTTTGTTTTTTTTCTTTTAATTTTTTTATTGTTTTCTTAACTTTTTCAATTTTTTTATTTTTTTACATTTATTTAAATCATTTTTATTATATATATATTAGGGTTGCACAGATACCAAGTACGAGTACAAGTACCGATACTTTTGAGCTCCAAGACTATTGACTCATCAATTAGACTCATCCCCTCGCCAGCGACCCAATGTCCGCAAGCTCCCTCAACTGCTCCGAGCACCTTTTCCGGGTTCAGGGTCTTTGGCCATCGTGAGTGGCCATGCCGGGGATTCTGTGCAACTCCCACACATGTGCACGAGAGTTTCTTCATCCCGCTACCCAGGCATGCCGAGAATGTACACCAAGCTGTGCATGAGCAGCTCATTTTACATTCCAGAGCAACTCGAGAGGAGGAAGGTAAGAAGGCCTTGACAGCGCACATAGTCTGTCCCTCCCGCACACAAAAAAAATAAAATGATTTCTACAAAATCCCAAATTTTGGAATTCGGGACAAAGTTCTGCTTTAATTTAAAAAAATATAAATAAATAAATGTTTACAAAATGCCAAATTTTTGAATTCAGGGTCAAAATGCCACATTTTTGTATTCTGTGCAAAGTTCTGCTTTAATAAAAAATAAAAAGATAAATAAATACATAAATAAATGAATAAATAAATAAAATGTAGCGAGCCTTATGTGATTTCAGAACTGCTGCAACAACTACTGTTATTCATTAAAACAAAAAAAAGTTACAGTAACATTCGACCCAAAAAAAACATTTTGCGCAACCTATAAAGCAGCCTTTATGCGCGGCCCTCCGGTCGGCGTTCTGTTTATTCGGTTATATTCTGATTTCTCCGCAATAACTGCACATGTCATGTTTTGTTTTGAGAACTATCCCTCCTAATGCTTCATGAAGATGAAGACGGCCCCAGTAGTCGGGGAAAGCAGCCCCTGCTAGCTAACAGCTGCGGACCCCTGAACCCACATGGGAGCCGACATCACACAGCGCAGCCCCTATTGGCTGTCCATCTCAGCACACTGATTAAATAAGACTGTTGCCAGCTTCAAGAAAACGGAAAAGGGAGGCCCCCTGTAACTGGAGACAGGGGAGAGAGATGCCTAGAAAAAGAGTCAAGCAAAAGAGGGTATTTCCATTGCTGCTGAGCTCTGGTCACTGAAGGAAAAACCCAACGCGGAAAAGCAAAACAGCCCAAATTTCACTCCGGTGGCAGAAACGCTCGATGTTTCCTTACGCTCGCTCTAAAAAACATCTATTTTTTTAAGGGGAATTTTAACATTCTGGACTACTTCCTCTTGCCTAGCATGAGAGAGAGAGAACACAGGCATAGAATAATCTGGCATAACATGCAAATGTTTCTAAAAGGCAACTGCAGTGCATATAACAAAATGCAAAGACGCAACATAGGTACAGTTCTAGAGGTGACGTGGACTTTTAGACAAAAAAAGAATATATTCTTCACCCTTCCAGGGTAAGGAGCCCATTTGTGGCATTACATTGTGCGCATTCAGACACAATGATTTTCACTCGCCTCATAATTCTCCTTTAATTAAAAAAAATAAGAATAGATAAGAAGAAAAAAGAAGAAAAATGAATTACAATAAAAAGGTGATTAAAAAGTAAACATAAATTATAAAAAAAATAAGAAGATAAAAAAAATTATAATTTTTTTTAAAAAAAGTAAAAGATTATAAGATAAATACAAATGTAAAAAAGTAGAAAAAAATCAATTACTAATTTAAAATTAATTAATTTAAAAAATATAAAAGGTAAAAACAAAAATTAAAACTAACCCTGCTGCCCTGCCATCTTGTTGCCATTCTCCATTGAAGGAGGTGTTTGGCTGGGAGGTTGGCGCATTGAGGAACCTCCCCGCAGGGATTGCCCCCTCCCCGCTCCTATCTTCCAGCGCTGACTGGCGGAACAGACGGGGGAGGGGGCGGGTACAGCTGGCTCTGCCTCTAGATAAACAGAGCCAGCTGTCACTCACGCAGCTGGGTGGATCCAGACAGTAATGTCGTCCAGGCTGCGGCGGTCTCAGTATACCGCCAGCTGTAGCTCCCTATATACTGAGCTTTGGGTGACGGGAGGACGCTAGTTTGTGTCCTCCCGTGACCCTAAGGAGAACTATGGGGAAAAGCCCTGACCCCATAGTTCTCCTTTAATATCTACACTACCGCCATTCTTTTTTGGCTAACAACGATAGTAAATAAATTAAAAAACACACCATCCACCACCACAAATCTATTTTCTCAATCAATCAAAACATGACTGGAGTTCTAATTCTTCTCTAATCTACCCAAAAATACAAGAAGAACGTTGGCTTCACATACACACACATACAATCAAAAACACCCAAAACAATTTTTTTTCCCCAGATTTTTGTGCATCATAAATAAAACATAAACATAATATTCCCTAAAATAAACCATCAAGCCAAAAAAAAAAGGCTCCTACCTGTACGGTGATTTGGGATCAAAGCAAGTCTTGGTGACATCGGTGACATTTGGATTGCAGCAAGCCCCGCCATCGTAATCCAACTCCTCGATATTGCAATCCATGTCGCACACGCTGTTTTCCTTCCTGCTGGAGTACAGGCAAGTGCTGCGTCCACGACAATCCCCGCCGTCGTAGCCCGTGAGTTTATGGTTACATTCGGGATCGCACTCGGCGCTTCCGATCTTGGTGATGTCGCAGTTAGTGAGGACGAGCCGCTGCCGTAGGAAGGAGTCGTTCCTCTCTAACACATCCAGTTCCCAGGTGATGTTGTACGGACCGAACGCCTCGGTCAATTTCTTATGCTGGAGCTCGATTTGTTCTTTGGTGACCGTCGGGTTCTCGTGGTTGTCGTCAAACACGTTGACCACCGTGTAACGCACGACCCTGGTCTGGCGGAAGCCCGCGACGTTGTTGTAGTTGGAAATGACCTGCACGTTGTCGCAAAGGGTTTGCCCGCACTGGGGCAGGTCCAGGTTTGTATCCAGCGCCGACACGTGGAGGTTGATGGGTTCCACTCGCGGGAGCTTTCCGTCTTTCATGGGAGACCAGATGTTTTTCACATTGTCAAAGCTATCCTGAAGAACAAGTTGAGGTAGAGGATTACTCAGTCCATGCAATGTCTGACCCATGCCTAGTAATATTTCCTTCTGCGTCCGAGCCGTGTTCCAGAGCCTGAACTGTTCCATGTAGCCTCTGTAATTCTGGTTGAGTGCATTGCCACCCACCATGAGGGCTTTACATTTTCTCGTGAAGGCGCTGAAGATGGAACCCACTTGCTTGCTACTGGTTGCCACTTGTGCCCCGTTGACGTAAAGTTTGATTGTACGGCCACTGTAGGTGACGGCTAGGTGGACCCACTGGTTCGGGAGGTAGTTGCGATTAGCAGTTATGGTGGTCCAATTTCTAGCACGATCTGTCTTTAAGGAGAAGAAATAGCGAGGATCTCTTGTACCCTGGTCGCTCATGGCCTCAATTCCGAGGACCCATCCACGATCGTGAGAAGTGTAAGTACATTTGTCATAAAGTCCTAAGCATCCCCAGAAAAGAGAAAGGTGTCAATGAAAGTTACTCAACATGTCACCACTTTACAGAAACATATTTTGCTCAACAAACACATGAAAGTTATTGTCTTCGATATCAACAATCAATGGACATCATGAAATGACCTGAGGTGGACCTTTTACCTTATGTTGCAATCACTACATTGTATCATTAAAAAGACAATCCTTGAGATTGGGCTTGGGCTGATATGATGTCATCAGTCTACTGTAGGGAGGAGGAAGCATTTCCTCAGTCTCCTCTCCCTAGTGATCAGACGGCAACATCTACATCTATAACATTAAAAAGGCAATCTTTGAGCTTCAGTCAAGAGACTCCGCCTGGGCTGAGGTGATGTCATCAGTCTACTGTAGGGAGGAGGAAGTATTTCCTCGGTCTGCTCTCCCCAGTGATCAGACAGCAACATCTAAGAAAGAACACCGGCTTCACTTCTTAGGCAGCCTAGCTTCCTGACCAATCAGGAAGCCGGGAGGTGGGTCATTATGTGCCGCCCGGCTTCCTGATTGTTTGGGAAGCCAGGCTGCCTAGCAACAAGTGAATCCAGCTTCCTAGCCATTCAGGAATCCAGGAGCCGGGTAATAACCCACCACCACCCGGCATCCTGATAGGAAAGGAAGCAGGATACATGCTCCCTCGGCACTGCCGGTCAGAGGGAGATTTCACTCTGATACCGGAAGATCTGGTATCGGAGGTAAGTATCGGAGCATGCGTACTAGCCCAAATGATTAAGATCGGGACCAGTCCCAATACTAGTATCGGTATCGGTGCATACCTAATGTCCATGACCAATCCCCCCCCACATCCACCACCCCATTCAACTACTGCATTGCCCGGAGTTATTGCATAACAAGCAGTGTCATCTGCAAAACATTCCCATTGTTTATCATTCACAAGTATAGGAACTTCAGGTCAGGACTTGTATTGTCCCCTTCTGCAGCTAGTCGATACAGCCATCTTTATTTTGATAGGTCCTTCTCCAATGTTCCCCCAGCCCCGTTGTCTAAACTTCCACCTTTATGGCCAAACGGTACGCTGTTTCAATGTTTGAAGAGATCAGTATGTAATGCGATTACCGAAGTCCAATCAAGGCACACTGAGCGAAACACAAAACAAACCACGGACAAGCAGACACCAGGGCCAAGGCTATTGTTTTCTCAAAATAATGTCATCACTTATGGTGCGTCATCATGATGATTATTGAATCAGTGGATAATGTATAACCGTGCGTTCCTCTTCTCAGTTAACTCATGATGAGCCTCTGGAAGAGGAAGCACATTTGTGTCCTGGGGCCCCCTACTGAACAGCAGATGTCTAGAACCTGATCAATGAGCTGTTTTCCCCCTCAAAGCTCAAGTTCATGACATCAATCAGGTGTGCTGCATGCGAATGTTAAGCATGCTGATGGGAGAAGAGCTCACGGCGAGCAGAGAGACGATATCAGTACGCTGCTGTTCTCTCAGTGTCCAGTCAGGAGGTCGGGGTGGAGACAGGACAACATTGTATTGCTTAAAGGAGAACTATGGGGTCAGTGTTTTCCCCATAGTTCTCCTTAGGGTAACGGGAGGACGCGAGTTTGTGTCCTCCCGTTACCCTAAGGAGAACTATGGGGAAAACACTGCCCCCATAGTTCTCCTTAGGGTAACGGGAGGACGCGAGTTTGTGTCCTCCCGTTACCCTAAGGAGAACTATGGGGAAAACACTGCCCCCATAGTTCTCCTTAGGGTAACGGGAGGACGCGAGTTTGTGTCCTCCCGTTACCCTAAGGAGAACTATGGGGAAAACACTGCCCCCATAGTTCTCCTTAGGGTAACGGGAGGACGCGAGTTTGTGTCCTCCCGTTACCCTAAGGAGAACTATGGGGAAAACACTGCCCCCATAGTTCTCCTTAGGGTAACGGGAGGACGCGAGTTTGTGTCCTCCCGTTACCCTAAGGAGAACTATGGGGAAAACACTGCCCCCATAGTTCTCCTTTAATGATGAACTCTGGGCAGAAACCAAAAAAAAGCCTTGCAGTGGAGATATCCCCTCACTGAAAGGGTTAAGTGCATTTTGTCTAGGGAGCTAAGATATACTCACCCAAACCTCACTCCTGGCTGGGTTTATTAATTACTTAATTTATTTAATTACTTGAATAAAGAACTGCATTATTTGGTGTATTTTACATATTCCTGAAGTTTAGCCTTAAACTGTATGTCCAAATATATGAATATATATATAGATATATCTATATATTAGGGCTGTGAAAATTAAAGATTAATTTGTCGATTAATCGTTAAATTTAAGAATCGGGACAACCTGTCGCCCTTAGGCACTTACAGTGCTACCTTCAGGGCCCCTGTAGACAATCTCCTCTGTCCATCTCCTTCAGCATATCTCCAGTCTCTGACCACCTCTCGTAGCAAGCCTGTAGTCTCTGACCATCTCCTGCAGCATATCTGCAGTCTCTGACCATCTCCTCATCTCAATCAGCATATCTGCAGTCTCTGAACATCTCTTGCAGCACCCCTGCAGTCTCTGACCATCTCTTATAGCATACCTGGAGTCGCTGTCCATCTCTTGCAGCATATCTGCAGTCTCTGACCATCTCTTGTGGGACCCATGTAGTCTCTGCCCATGTCCTGCAGCATATCCGAAGTCTCTGACCATCTCCAGCAGCACCCCTATAGTTTCTGACCATCCCCTCATCTCTAGCACCATGTTTCTAAACATCTCTTGCTGCACATCTGCAGCCTCTGACAGCCTCCTGTAGCTTCAAATTCACTAAATATTATGTTTGGTCCCTTGGCAATGCCAAGGGCTACAATTGAGACCCCCTATATCCAGGGATGGTTCTAGACGTTCTGCCACCTAGGACCGGGAGGAGGAGCTCATGGTGCATGTTTCTGGGAGGTGGTTGCTTGTGGTGCATGGTCCGGGTTCCGATTGGTGAAGGGGAGTGGCCGGTACCTGGCTTCGCCTCTGTCCGTCGTCCCACCCAGCTCACTGATGTCCCTGGATCCCAGGAGCTGGGTGGGATACCAGCCAGAGCATTTCACCAGTGAGGTCAGTCAGCTAGGTGGGATGCCAGCCAGGGCATCCCGTTCAGCTCCTGGCAACCACTGATGTCAGTGAGCTTGGTGGGACGCCAGCCAGAGCATCCCAGGTTGCTCTGGCTGGAAACAGGGTGGCAGGCCCTGTCAGAGGACACAGCCTAAGCCTGCCTCATTATAAGAACAGCTCTACCTATATCAGGAAAGATGACAATCACTGGGACTAGGTGCATTGAGATCCTATTCAATATGCAGTACCGCACATTTTGTATGGTCCAGACTCAATGGACCCTTGTTTTTTTTTTTCCTGCCATCACTGTTCTATGGTTCTAGGCACGCTGTACAATTGAGAGCCCCTATAGGAGGAAATTTGACCCCCACTGGCCTAGGTGCACTGAGATCCCATTCAATATTCATCACTGGACTGCGCATTTTGCATGGTCCAGACTCAATGGACCATTTTGTTTTTTTCTACCATCACTGTTCTATGGTTCAAGGCAAGCTGTACGATTGAGACCCCCCATATCAGGAAAGTTGACCAACCCTGACCTAGGTGTATTGAGATCCCATTCAATATGCTTTACCACGCATTTTTCATTGCCCAGACTGGAGGGACCATTTGGTTTTTTCTTTCTACCATCATTGTTCTATGGTTCAAGGCAAGCTGTACAATTGAGAGCCCCTATATTAGGAAAGTTGACATCCCACTGGCCTAGGTGCACTGAGATCCCATTCAATATTCATTACTGTACATTGTGCATGGTCCAGACTCAATGGACCATTTTGTTTATTTCTACCATCACTGTTCTATGGTTGAAGGCAAGCTGTACCATTAGGACCCCCTACATCAGGAGAGTTGACCACCCCTGGCCTAGGTGCATTGAGATGTCATTCAGTATGAAGTACCATGCATTTTGCATGGTCCAGACTCGATGGACCATTTTGAGGGTTTTATCTGCTGTCACTCTTCTATGGTTCAAGGCAAGCTGTACGATTGAGAACCCCTATATCAGGAAAGTTGACCCCCACTGGCCTAGGTGCACTGAGATCCCATTCAATATTCATTACTGTACATTGTGCATGGTCTAGACTCAATGGATCATTTTGTTTTTTTTATACCATCACTGTTCTATGGTTCAAGGCACGCTGTACAATTGAGAGCCCCTAAATCAGGAAAGTTGACCTACCATTGGCCTACGTGCACTGAGATCCCATTCAATATTCATTAATGCGCATTTTGTATGGTCCAGACTCGATGGACCATTTTGTTTTTTTTCTACCATCACTGTTCTATGGTTCAAGCCAAGCTGTACCATTAGGACCCCCTACATCAGGAGAGTTGGCCACCCATGGCCTAAGTGCTTCGAGATCCCATTCAGTATGCATTTTGTGCTCTACCGCAATCCAGCCGAAGGGTTTAAAAACCTTTTTATACAGCTATAGCAATAAAAAAAAAGAAAAGGGGGCTCTGTGCTGAATTCCGAAAAGCTATAATCTTCGAGACATGGAAAATAAAATGCATGGAAAGACGTAAAGGGTAATATGGTAAAGGAAATATTTATTGCCACTCCAATAAAAAAAAAAAAAGTTCCCCACGCAACATGTGGTCTATCCCTTTCATCCAGCAGGAATCCTTGGAACAGCTCGGGGCATGATTAATGAAAGTGCAGGATTGGGGAAATGCACGGGGGAGCCCATGCCTATCCGTAAGTGCAGCAACATGACGCACAGTCATGCCATTTTACCCGATGCCAACTCCGGCACTATAGCGTTTCGTGTACATCTTTGAGCGCCTGGCTTACAGCGGAGGATGTGTGTACAGTCTGTGCTCTGTTCCATGCTGAACACAGAAATCGGGGGCAGGTGAGGTGATTTCATCCAGAAGAGGGAATTCAAGGTCAATTTTTTAACTGTAGCAGAGTCTTAGTTCTTAGATAAA